AGGGTGGCTTTGTGTTCTTGCTAGTGGTGCCTGTTTCTTTTATTTGGATTTGTATCCAACTGGTTGGTATTTGATAGAAAAAATAATGGATACAAAGTTCTCGTACTATATCAACCAACTGCTTAGGTGATATGATTTGTATTGTTAGATTCATTTCTTTGATTTGGGTCTGACAATAACTAGAAACAGATTTTGTCTCTAAAGGTATGATTAATTGGAGTAATGAAGGTGGTGTCCAAGTAAGACTTTTTAAACAAGATAGTCTGTTGTGGTATGAGCTCTTTTTCTTCTTGGGGATAATGATCTAGCCTATATGATAATGTATCTAATTATTCTTGTTCTTTTTCAGATTAGAAAAGTATTACAAAGTTATTTCTTTGTCCATTTGGATTCTCTTTGGAATAATGTAGTATTCTAAAAAATTAACCTCATCCCAATCAAATTCGTATTTCTTATAGTTTTGTGTACAAGCCAAACTAGCACAGCTGTTCTAACACAAGTTTTATATAATAATCATGCTGTTTTTGGTTTGAAAAATAAACCAGAATATTATTTAGGTAGATTATAACAAAGTGGTTCAGGAAATCTTAAAATATATCATTTATCATATGTTAGAAAACTGCTAGAGTATTTGTTAGTTCAAAGAGCATGACTATATATTCAAAGTACCTATAGAGGTGTGAAAGTCAGTTTTTTATTTATCTCTAGTGCAAATGTGAACTAAATTATAAGCTCTTCTGAGGTTAATCTTTGTAAATTTTGTTGCAGAAGCTAGCCAGTTTAGCAATTTAGAGATAAAAGGTAAAGGGTATCTATTTTTTATAGTAACTTTGTTCAACCCTCTATAATCTATACAAAGATGCAATAATCTGTTCTTTTTTTTTACAAAAAGAACAAGAAATCTAGCTAGAGATTTTGAGTACTATATAAACCTCTTTTCTAAATATTCTTCAATATATTGCTTAAGTGTTTTTAACTTTTATTCTGATAGTTTATAAATAGGTCCTTATAGAGATTAGGCATTGTAAATTAAATTGATGTTGTAGTTATATAGCCTGTTTTCTAGTAGCTTATTTGTCTCTTTTTGCTAAACATATTGAAAATTTTGATATTTTTCAGAAACAAACACTTGAGTAATAACAGTTTGTAGAGCTGCAACTTGGAACACTTGCATCATATATAACATTTCTTGATTTTTGTTATTTTCTGAAGATATATTAACAGTTTTTTGTTCAAATAAATGATTATTGCAGGAAGAGTCTGAGAAGATAAAAGAATGTTTCTTCCAATTGAATTGCTGATTGTGTTTTATCAATCAAGACAGACCCAAAATGACATGGTAGTGAGAAGAAGATATAAGGTTAAAAGAGATCATCAATTGATGATCTTGCAACCAAAGTTACAGGAGTTCTGTTTCATGAGTTACAGCCCCGGATTTAACTTCCCTTCTATCAATCACTTCTACTAAAATGGGTGTAGGCTTTTAACCATGAGTATAGAATATTTTTTGGCTAGCATGATATCTAGAAAACAAAACAATACCTGAGTCTAATAAGGTTGTGGCTAATAAATCAGTTCTATTTGGGAACTATAATTTTATTAGAAAGTAAGAGCTTCAGTGAAGTCAACTTTTATCAGTTTTTTGAAGATATTTGTATGTACTTTATCCAGCCACAATTTTCTTATATGATTGGGGTCCCTCTTTTCTCGAACTTTCTTGGGTTATGGCTATAGCATTAATTCTATATTACTCGCTATTACCCTTTTATGGTATCTTCTAACCATATGACCTGAGGCTCTACAATACAAACATAGATTGTAGTTATGATATCATCTCTTTTCTTCTTTAGACAAGGACTTTAGTCTGACAAAATCAATCTGCATCAGCTCCAGAGCTTGAGTTTGGTTGATATTAGTTATTGGGAATTGGTTTTAACTTATACTAAAATCAAAACATCATTCTTGTGTTGTTCAAAAAGTCAGTTATCATATCTTACAGCTTTTGCAATTGTATCATTAAGGGTAGTAAAGTCAGACATTGTAAGAAATAAATCTTTTACATTTCCACGAAGCCCAATTTTAAATTGGTTAATCAACACTATCTTCTCTAGTTCAAATTATCTGAAATTTGTTGAAACTTAGAGGCATAACTAGCTACAGATTGGATGTCTAGATAAGTTTACAAATTTTATTTGTAGCTGTTCTTGTTTTATTCATATCTCCAAAAGTTGCTTCAAATATGTTAACAAAGTCATCAAAATTTTTAAGCAGAGGTGGTGACTTTTCTAATAGAGGTACAAACCATGTTAGAGCAGAACCTATCAACAAACTTTTAATCAAGCAACTTAAGTTGCATTGTTTAGATAATATTGTGGCTATAAATGTATAATAAGACATATTTGGTTCAAAAACTCATGAAAGTTATTGCGTGATCTGTTGAACTTGTCAGGTAAGCTTATTTTAGATATTGTTTGCTTGGCTTATTAGAACTTTGTATAACAAATTGATCAACTGTAATACACAAGGCTTTGTTCTCTTGATGAAGGGCTTGATTATTTTGTTAAACTTGCTAAAATGCTGCTACAATGGTATTAAGATCATATTGGTCTTGTAGATCTTTTATAATAAGAGATTTTTTTTTTGTATTTCTTACAGGTTACAGGTACTAGGATAAATTAGTCTGTTTAAACTGTAACAGACAAGCCTATAATTTAATTTTTAAAGTAAGCAACTTTTTATTAAACAGACTAATGATCTTTTTTTTTTACAAGATGCTTATTTATACTAATCCTAATAACTAACTTTTACTACATTTTTAATGTACTTACTATTGCTTACTATATTTTTAATGCACTTACTATCGCTTACTAATTACATTTTTAATGCATATTATTTTAACTATGACATACTACTTACGATAGCTTCTTTTCAGATCATGATTATGTGATACATGATCACATGATCATATGATCACAATTTAAATATAATTAAATGAACAAATTCTATTGATCATGTGATCATATAATCATCAGTCATGATCATCAGTCATACAAGGATATTTAGTCATAATCATGACACTCTTTCACTTTAAGTTTTGACCCCAATTATAAATGGTTCTACCACTTATAGTTCTTTACTTTGAATATACTTCTCCATATTCTAGATTAACAGAATTAGTTCTTTCAATCACTGTTTTTAGAAGCTACTTCTTTAGTATATTCCAAATAGGGGCAATCTGATAGCCACATCTGATCCAAACAAAGTACATACTATTTATCTTCTTTCAATCCAAGATCTATTAAACTTTCTCTTCACATATAATTTGTTTTTTCTCTAATCGTCATATCAAAACTCATGATTTTCTAAAAATAAAAGTAGTAAAAATATCGATCTTTTGGAGGAGTAAGCCAAATCTGCACTTTTTGTTAAAAATTATGAAAAAAAGAAATGACAAGAGAGTAGTCATAGTTTTGCGAGTTTCCAACCAGAGAGTGTTCTTCTAAAAGTTCTTCATAGTCTTCTGTCTTTAAACAAACTTGAGTTTATCTTCTACTTACTGTTCTCAGAGACTTCTCTAGTTTGGATACCGAACACAAAAAGAGTCTACCAAAAAGAAGAAAAGGCTTAACCCCTTTGCAAACTGTCTAAAATATCTGATTCTCGATATATCATATTTAAAAACTTCATTGACAACAGTTTGTATTAAGTAAACTTCAAGTTGTTATTAACTTCTGGTCTTGAATCTTCTACTTGCTTTTGGTAAAAAGTTAGTACAAGTGATCATTAGCAAGAGTTAACTAGTATTTCTCATTTACTAATTTTTGATAAAATATTAATACTTTATATTTTCTTTTTAACCCCAATAAATTTTAATAACAATAACCAAAATTATATTTTTATTATCTTTGCTAATTTTTAATAATAAATAAAGAAAAGTTATATTCATAACACTATGTTATATAATATCTTTTACAATATCTTAAAAATATACTAAGTAAGTAGGTGTAAGTATTTTAAGTAAAATAATCAGCACCTCTGAAAACTTTATAAAACCTAAAATTAGGATCTATTATGACTTTATATCTAATATATATTGTATTATAAAAAGTTTTTATTTATCTTAAAACTAGACTCTAACTCTAAGTAAGATATATCGAGTATTATAATAACACAGTATTATAAATATAATATTTTATAAATAAATATCTATATTTATTTTTTTAAATTTCAATTCTATATTTACAACAAATTTAACTATATTTATATTACTTTTGTATGTTTAACTCAATTAAATTATATTAAGAATATCTAGTATTAAATATTTTCATTCTGTAATTTTTAATAATATACTAGTACTTTATATTTATTTTTTTAGAATACTACTATTCTGTACCTATGGTATTGAATACTATAATTAGCTATATCTCAAAAATATACTAGCTAACATCTTACAGGAGGTATTAAGTAAAAATATTCAGAACCTTCAAAAACCTTATATTAACTAAAATTTGGACCTTTATATCTAACCCTTATTTTACTTTAAAGTTGCACCCTAATTCTAAATTTTAGCTAAAAACTTATTAATACTATAAACACCATAAGTGCATTTTAGATAATTTGTTTTTTACTCTAATATTATTTTAATAACACTAGCCAATATTATATTTTTATTATCCTTGCCAACTTTTGATAATAAATAAAGGGTATTGTTATTTATACTGTTATTTTTGCTATTTCAGTCAAGGATTTTACTAAATTAAAAAATCACATTCTAGAATGATCTCTGTATCATTTCATGAATTTGATTAGCTGTGTAACATTTTTTTCACTATGAGATCATTTGATATTTTATTTTTTATTCGATATTAAACAATATTCAATTAGCTAATATAAGATGTCTACTTTAAATGATCTCATTTGATCTCTCGCAATAAGCCATTATAAAAAAGGCAAATGATAACTAACTTCTTTTAATTAATAAATAAATTTTGTTGTTGTTAAATTTGATTGGTCAATTATACATAATTTTCATATAACCAAATGATCTAGAATTATGTGATCAACATTTCTTTACTATACAAGATGCGATCTATACTGTCCATATTTGGCAAAATCCCTAACTGTATTTGTACAATGCTAATTACTAAAAATTTATTTTTTTTAATAAACTTGTTTATTTAGTTATAAGTTTAGGTTAAGTGTTATTAAAATATTCTTTAGCTAAAAATTTTAAATATTTACTAATAAAATTTTAGCATTTAGAATAGTATAAATAGCAAAATAATGATATAAATAGCAATATTTTAAATAAATATCTATATTTATTCTTTTCAACTCAAATTCTACATTTATAACAAAATTCAATTATATTTATGCCACCTTTGTATATTTAATATAATTCAATTATACTAAGAATTTCTCATATTAAATATTCTACTAGTATAGCCTATCTACTAATTTTGATAATATACTAGTATCTTATATTTATTTTTTTAATTTTAATACCATTCTTATAACAATATCCAATATTATATATTTTTTATTTTTGCTAATCTTTGATAATAAATAAATAACTATATTTGTTCTTTTAACTCAAATTTATTTTTATAACAAAATTTAACTATATAAACTCTTTTAACATCTAATTCTATTATAATAAATACTATATTTATATATTTAATCTAATTATACTATAATAAGAATATTGGGCTATTTGTGCTATTCTGATATTATAGAAAGCTCTCTTCAAAATTACTAATAGTTTTATTCTATCTTCTAAAATAGTTAAAATCTATATTATATTTATACTAGATAAAACTAATTCAAATTTAGATAGAAAGTTATTGATTAATATATCATTATTATTTAACTATTTATTGTTTTTAAAGAGTTCTTATATAATTAATTTATTATTGTAACTATAGTAAATAAAGTTATAAAGATATTTTAATCAAATTATTAAAAATATTTTTAATTTAAAATACAAAATTTTATATATTTTAAATATATAACTAATTATATAGCCAAAAGTGATATATATTGTTTTTAGAGTAGATTAAGAATATTATTTTTATATTATTAAGTTAAAAATAATTTGTGATCAAAAAGTTAAAATAGTCTGTGATCAAAAGATTCAAATAGTTTGTAATCAGAAAGTTAAATTATTAACTTGTTAGAGTTTAACTACCTATACTGCATTTTAGCTTTAACAGTTTGGTCATCTATACTATACAAGATCTAATAATAAAAAGCTAAATAATAATCAAAATTTAAAATATAATATAGTTTACTTCAAATTTTTACTAATATTATACCAATTTTTAACCAGTATTATTATAGAAAAACCTGCATAATATATTATATATAACAATTATTAAAATAAGGCATATATCCTAAATTCTAAAAATATAATCATATCTAAATTATATTACTTTTTTTAAAAACAGTTTTGGAGATATAACTAAGGCAAAAATATAACTCAATATATTAAATATATAAAAATATATAAAAAAAGAAATTTATTTTGCTTAAATATAGAGATATAACTCAGTGAAAATATAACTCAAATATGACTATAGTATTTTTTCAGATTATGTAACCTTTATTTTTAGAATTTATGATATTTTTTATATTATATACCTGAACAGGATATTAGAAAAAATAGAGAGTACAACAAAAAGAGTATAAAAAAATAAAATTTATTTTATAGAATTTTTATATATTTTTTTGTGTAATATAACTATTTGTCATACTCTTGTTTATTATATAGAGTAACCTATACTATATTTAATAGTAAAGGCAGTATACAAGTAAAAAAGATGTTTTATAATAAAATTTAGCAAATAACTTTTGATTGAATTCAAAAAATAGGGTAATATAATTAATTTGAGTATAACCAATTTTTGATAATTTTTAACAAAATGATTGAATTTTCCTGTTTGCATGATGTTATACCTGATCTTTAAATTTGATTAGCTTTTATGAGATGTAGCTACAGTAATTATGGCTACAAATATATTAATTCTGTTTTTTATTATAA